CCCCAAAACCCCAAAACCCCAAAACCCCAAAACCCCTTAAAGAAGCATAAATTTTGAGTTTGATAAGTTTTATAATAAATTTCCAAAATGAACACAATTAATCTCTTGGATAAGTTAGGACTCCCAATGAAGATCGGTCTAGATGGTCAGGACTTGCTTTATCAGAAGAAAACCATAATGGAGGCTTACCTCTCTGCATCCTCGTTGGAGTTTAACAGACAGCTCTTTGGAATTGATAATTCTACTGAAAAGATGAGCTTGCTTTTTAGAAAAGAGAATATAGTTCCAGAGGACACCCTCAGTCCTGATTTTGACTTATTTCAGCGCTTCACTCCAGAGATTGATTCCTCTATGAAAATGCCGAACTTTAGTGATCTTACGCCAGTTTTTAACTTATCTAAGTCTGCTGATGTAAAGCCTCTGGCTCAAATCAGTCTAAAAGGAGCCAGTCAGGAGGACACAGAGCTAGACTCATACACTAAGATCCAGAACAAGTATGAAGAAGAGAAGAAGCAGAAGTCTAAAAGAGGCAAAAAAAAAGTTGACAAGAATAATATAGAAGAGTTTGTAGCTGAAGAAAGAAGAAGATTACTAAAGAAGCTCGAAACTGGAGAGAACAGAATTATTTTCAAGAGAAGAGTTAAAAATATTAAGAAGGATCCCAAGATTAGTGCTTATAATTACAGAGGATCCAAATATTGGGGAGTCTCCAAGAATAAATCTAAAGGGCAAGTAAGTTAAGGATGCAGGAAGAAGGGAATGACTTTTTATAGGTGATGATTACTCTCAACCACTTTAAAGAGTACCAAGGTGGCTTTGAATCCGAAGAAGCTGCTGCAAGGATGTATGATAAGAAAAGCATCTGCACTTTTGGCTTGAAAGCTAAAATTAACTTCGATTATACTAGAGATGAAGTTCTTAGCATACTTTCCGAAGATGAATCTATCATCATGTAAATCTCTGGTTGGGTATCATCAATGTTCTACATTGAAGGGCGTTGTCTCGGTTGAGGCTGCCTTTACTTACCCACTCATTTACACCCTACACCCTACATACTTACATTCTTACTCAATTACATTCTCACTATGCATGCTGATTCTTATTTTCTGACCTGTTCCGGTTTCGATGTTGGTAAACTGTTTTATTTTTGCAATAAATTTTGAAAGGTACCAGTCTCTCGGTAGCATAAATCCATTTTGAAAAAATCAGAATTTGGAGGTGCAGTAATTTACATTTTTAGCCTTTAGTTTATTAGAAGACTGAACAGATACTAACCAATCGAGAAATTTCTTTGAGAAAGTAACTTTTTTAGAATAGCTACTAAAACTTATATATCTGTTCGTAATAATTTTTAGAGAAATCCAACCAAAATTTTTCTAAAGTTGTAACTTGTAGTTGGGCTAGATTTCTTAGTAGAGGCCGTTCTAGTCTTCCTGTTTTGATAATCATTGGAAGTGTTAGTGCAATTAAGCCAATTAATCAATAAACATGCAGAATATAGGGGTTTTGGGGTTTTGGGGTTTTGGGGTTTTGGGG